CTTAAGCCCACTGCAATCTGAATCCAAGATATTAGGGCTATTTTTAGGGTTCCGAAGCAGTGGATCATTGGCAAAGAGGCCTGGAGTAAGGTCCTGAAATCTGTTTTTTTTTTAAACAAACTCTCCAGGTGATTCTCATCAACAACCAAGTTTGACAATTACCATCTGGACCCTCCAAGAAGTGGATTGATTCAAGGTGATTTGCATCTTACTGAAGAAGGAAACCAGTGGCCTGGAAAGGAATTCTGCATGCAGTGCTACTGGGAATTGATTTTGGTACATATGTTTCTTAGAGCAGTTTGTTATTCTCAGTCTTTCATACCCCTACTAATCTCCTGGAGCATTTGTTAAAATGTAGATTCTGATTCAGCAGGTCTGAGATGCTACTCGAGAACCTGAGATTCTGCATTTTTAACAAGTTCCCAGGTGATACCAGTGCTGATCCTTAGAACATATTCTGAGTAACAAGGATGTAGAACATTCCAGAAATAGGATGGTACAAGCTGTATATATCAGATAGTGTCTGTGTCAGCTAGAAAAGGAATTTTGGGAGCAAAGATGTCAGGAAATGCAAAATTCCTTACAGAATAAGACAGGAACATCTAATTATCAATCCAGCAACTGATTATTACAACTCAAGAGATTACTAGAATGGCAGATCATAGAGTACAGCTTTTTTGGATGAGAGCAAGTCATTGCATAAGCAGACTCAGATGAGAGCCAGTGCTCCCCTACTCTCACCCTTACTCCTAAACAAAGGAAAAGAATTACAAAAAATTGGTGTCTCCATTATACATTTAACCTCAGTTAAACAAGTTTATGTACGTTGAACTTGATTCTCCACTTGTAGCAGAGCTGTGGCAAATGGATGACACAAAATCCAATGTGCTGAAATAAGGGAATCTGATACTTACATGTGAAGGTATGTTGCAGGACTATTCACAATCGCCAAAAGGAGGAAACACCCCAAGTGTCCATCAACAGATGGATGGGTAAACAAAATGTGGTATATACATACAATGGGATATTATTCAGCCATAAAGTCCTGATACATGCTACAACATGGATGAATTTTGAAAACATTATGCTAAGTGAAATAAACCAGACAGAAAAGGTTACATAGTGTATGAATTGGAAATTTATATGGAATATGTAGAATAGGCAAATTCATAGAGCTAGAAAGTGGATTAGAGGTGACCAGGAACTGGGAGTAGGAAAGGAAGGGGAGTTACTGCTTAATGGGCACAGAGTTTCTGTTTGGAGTGATGATAAAGTTAGTGGTGATGGTTGTACAACATTGTGAATGGAATTAATGACACTGAATTGTACACTTAAAAATTGTTAAAATAGCAAATTTTATATATTTTTGCACAATTAAAAAAAAAGTCCTATGTGCTTCACTGTGAACCATACTAAGATCAACAAAATTCACAGCTTGGGATTCTCTAAAAAAACCAAACCCATTGCCGAGCCGATCCCAACTCATAATCACTACAGGACAGAGTAGAACTGCTCCATAGCATTTCCAAGGAATGGCTGGTGGATTTGAACTGCCAATCTTTCGGTTAGCAGCCGAGCTCTTAACCATTGCACCACCAGGACTCCTGGGATTCTCTGGAGGAAGCAAAATTATAACTGGTGTGTGTAAGATGGGAAACAGAGGTGTTTCTCTTCATTTCTCTAGGAATGAGTTGCAGACTGAAGAGCTGAGAGAGGTAATGGGGACAGATGTAAACTGACTCTATTAAGAGGGGGAGTAGAGAAATACGCTGGTAATAAAGAAAGGTATTAATTCTTTTAGTATGATTCAAGTATATATTTGACTCAGCAAAAAGTTGAAACCAACTGAAACTGGACAATGTCAGTTCAATTTTGGATTTCATTATGGACACGTCAGTCATTAGACTCATATTGCTGATAATAATTACCACTTTGTTACCACTTGCTTTAAAACTTAAAACTTAAAAGTCAAATAGAAATAAACTTGCCCTTTAACAGCAATGTATTTCTTGGAATTACAGCCGACTGCTACTTGGACTACCTAAAATAAAGTAATATGAATGGTAAGTTCAGTGGTTCTGATTCATGTGATCTCAAATATTACTGAAGCTAAAACCAATTGCATTTTAGATTTGAAATAATAACCTTTTAAATACAGGGTTTGGTTATTTTGCTCTGTGCTGTCTCCCTCCTTCTTCTTTGGTCACTTTTTTCTCTTTCTTTTCTTCCTTTTGTTCTTACTGTTCACGGGCCTAACGAACGGTTGATTCTCTGCTTTCCTACATCATTATTCAGAGAACCAGTCCAATGTTACCTTTCACCGTCATCTCTACAATCATCACTATTAACTCTGTTCTTCCAGCCTACACCTCTGACTCAGCAAGCGCGTTTCTACTTGTGTGTTCACTTAATCTCAAAGTCATGATGACCTAAACTCCAGTTGGCATATTGCCTTGGCCTTCAGGCTGGACGTTTTCTGTATGGTATATACACACAGTGGAATATTATTCAGCCATAAAGTCCTGATACTTGCTACAACATGGATGAACTTTGAAAACATTATGCTAAGTGAAATAAACCTTTGACTTCTCTTTAACCAGAGTTCTGGTTCTCCCTTGACTGGGATGCCTATTTCTATTTCTACCGGGCTCTGGGACACCTTACTCACTGCTGTCTACTCCTACCTCTCCTCCATGCTTTCTAAGTGGTGTCTGGACACCTGCATTCTGCTTTAAACATGACACTGTATGTTGCATATTTCCACAAGGTGAACCTGGGAAAAGCCCTGTTACTTGCTTCCATTTAAGAGGGACTCGGGAGTCAGAAGGATGGAGATAGGGAGTGATGGTCAGCCAAGTTTAGTGGATTTAAAGAGCCATTCTACTAAACCGAGACCTTTTAAACTTCATTTAGAAGACAGGTTCCACAGCACAAGCTCATAGATTTTGTTTCCTGAATCACCTGATTTCACTATAGGACTTGAGTTTGATCTTTCAACACCTCTACCCACAGTCCTTCCTGCCCATTATCATCAAATCTTTGCCTTCCCATTAAACGTGTTCAGAAACATGGGCTTGTTGTTTATCTTTATTAAGCTATCCATATACTATAAATGGTTGGCTGAAGTCTTCAAATCTATTGCGTAGTCAGGACCCACCATCACTTGATAGTCTTATTTGTAACATCCCTTCTCTTTCAGGTCCTAGTTGACAGAAATTACCATGGCCTCAGAATCAACAACCATGGCTAGTTTTAAAAATATGAGCTAACCTGTAGGTGGATCTTAAAACAGAGCTGTAGTACAGAGTGTGGGAAGCATCAATAAGCCTGTTTTCTAGGGTGCCCATTGCAGTAGGGTTGACATGTGTTTTCCAGGCCTGGACACCTAACTAGATAGCTTGTGATGTTTGGTCTAAATGAAAACAATAAGTGCACTGGCTTTCTTTATGAAATACCATTCTCTTTGGTGCGAAACAGGGTAGACTGATCCTGCCTTAGCTCAGAGTAAGACATTGCAAATTCCCTCTGACTAGGACAAGACAGCTGGGGCAGGAATTCTAAAGGGCCTCGACGTGGACATTTTGGTAGATAGTACCTTAGACAGAGTTGTAGTCATCCCTCCCTGGGAACATTCATCTTGGAAGGAATTATTAATGCCTTCTGGGGACCATTGTACCAGGATGGCTTCACTGCTTTCCTGCTTCTTGGTGCATGGTTTAAAACTGAGCTCTAGCCCTGTTGGAGCTGCAAGTTCTATTTGCTGCTCTGCTGCAGACTATTAGGAGTGACACAGATGACAAGCTCCCATTCAAATGGCTCAGTCCATAGTCCATTTGGTCAGCAAGTTTTACAAGGGCTTAACTTCACTGGGCAGCATTTTGTTCCATTGCGCATGGAGTTGCCATGAGTTGGGGGCTGACTCAACAGCAGCTAACAATAACAACTTCATTCAACTGGCGGAGACGTCTGTGAGCCGTGGTTACAAGTACATGCAGAGCTGGGCCCTGTGTCTCTATAATATTTGTCTGTGAAACTGATGCCATGCTTGCTTGTGGGTAGAGTTGCACAGAGAAGGGTCCCTGTGGTGGAGAGCAAATCTTGTAGCTGTGCACAGGTTTTGATTTTTTTGTATGGCTAGAGAACCTACCTCTACAAGAACACATTTCCATATTGTATCGTCTAAAGGACCATTGCATATTCTACATTCCATTTCAGTGGGTGGGGCAGTACATACTACCTGGGGCAGGAATTCGGAGAAATGAGGATTTGGTTTCTTGCTTTATAAACAGATTAATCTGGGTGGGTTGCATGGTAGACAGATAGGGGATTTGTTGACATGCAACTGCAGGCAATTTCCTGGGGAAGCACTTTGTGCTTGAGGAAAGATTATGTCTGCCTCTTTTCAGAAAAAACCAGTTGCTGTTGAGTCACTACCAACTCATGGTGACCCTGTGTGTGTCAGAGTAGAACTGTGCTCCATGGGGTTTTCAATGGCTGATTTTTCCGAAGTAGATCACCGGGCTTTTCTTCTGAGGTGCCTCTGGGTAGAGTCAAACCACCAACCTTTCACTTAGCAGCCATGCTCTTTAACTGTTTGTACCACCCAGGGACTCCCTCAGTTCAAGGGTCCCTCTAAAAGGGAACCTTGAGCCCTGGTAGGAACAGGTTCCTTGTACTGGGGTCCTGAAGGGCAGGGGCCATGTTTTATTTAACTTTGTATTCCCCATGTATAGCATGATGCTTGCCATACAAAAAAAATGCATAAAAACCAAACTCGTTGGCATTGAGTCGATTCCGATTCATAGCACCCCTGTAGGACAAAGTAGAACTGCTCCATAAGGTTTCCAAGTAGCGGCTGGTGGATTAGAACTGCTGAACTCTTAACCACTGCACCACCAGGGCTCCACCTGCCTTAGTAGGTGCTAAATGTATGCTTAATTGAGTGTTAGTTAGGCTGAGAAGGGATAAAGAGAGAAGGCATCCCCAAGTGTGGAACATAGACTCAAAGGATGTTATTTTTGTTAAGAATATTGTTTAATTTCATAATACTTGCAGTTACCTGAATATTCCACTGCTACTTCATTCCTCTGTACTTTGCATATGCCTTTTCCTGGAATTCCCTTTGCACCTGCCTACTGAATTTCTATTTATTCTTCAGTAGTCATTTTATGTATCACCTTCTTTTCATCTTTTCCTTCCTAATCA